TAATTAGCACCAGGGGCCTGGTCTCCTCCCTGAGAAATGACCCAGACTGAATCTGTTATACCAGACCTAAATTTAGGAACACGGGGAAGCTCTGCACGAGGCCTCCCTTACGCCACTGCGGCAGGTCTCCGCCCCTCCGAATCACAGGCATTTGGGTCTGGGCATTTTCAGGCCATGATAGCGCAGGCCTTCGCCCAGTCTATGACCTCCTCTGTTCCCCAGCCCCCCTCCCTTCTTCCGTAAGACAGTTCAGAGTCAGTGGGACAACCTGGGGTCTATCCCCAATCTGGGATCAATAGAGATGGAATTGTTCAATGTGTCTCCATCTCTTGCCTCCTTATTGGAGGTTCCCCAAATCATCAATCCTCTGAATTCTCTGTATTCAGACGCGAACATCCCAGGGGACATAGCCGAGGCTCTTAGGGCAGAGGGCAAGAAAATTGAAACTGCCTTACGCAGGTTGCATCAGGCTTCGGCTTGGGCGGTTATGGTTTCCACATCCATGGCCTGCTTCGCTCGGGCCTCAGAACTGTGGCTGCGTGATCTCCAAGACATGATTCCTCTTGACCACGTCAGGGTACACCAAGACCTGGTTAAGTTGGTGACCACATCTCAATGCATGGCTGATTGCTTCCTTCATGCCACCAGGTACTCTTCACGGACCATGGTGGCGGGCATTGCGTCTCGCAGACTTATGTGGCTAGAGTATTGGCAAGCAAAACTTCAAGGCCAGTGGTGTCTGACTACTAAGACCTATACTGAGGGTCATCTCTTTGGCAGGGCGCTAGACCTTTGCCTACTAGAGGGCAAGTATAGGCAAAAGGGCCTATTAACACCTCTATAAAGGGGAGATAGGCACTCAGGGCCCGGGGCATCGCAGAACTACAAGCGTAGGCAGCCCTTTCGGCCCGCTTCCACCTGGGACTGGGCCCAGACTTCTCGTTCCTCCTACCAGAGACAGGAGCATCAGCAGGACGTTCCACATGAAGGAACCGCCCACAAGGCCGAACCAAGCAGCCCTTTCGAGGCACAGGAGGGCGCTTCTTCAAACGAGGCAAGTAATTCCACAGACTCCCCTCCTACAGGAGGCAGGCTGTCCCTTTACTCTGACACATGGGCAGCCACTGCCATGGACTCAGGGGCCTTGAACACCGTTTCTCACGGTCTGATGCTGGAGTTTTAGTCCAGTCCACCTGACCTGAAAGGCCTTCATGCCGGAGGCCAAGGATCACCTTTACAGATTCAGGCCTTAGAACTGGTACCGCAGGACCAGGAGAGATGGGGGTTCTACACACATCCTTTCGTCGTTCCCAAACCCTCAGGGGGCTGGAGAGCAATCTTAGACTTAAAGGGTCTGAATTATTTTCTGAAGTACAGGAAGTTCGAGATGCAGTCTCTGTAGTCAATTTGGCTAGCATCCAAAAAGGGGACTTCCTTGATTCAATAGACCTAACTGAGGCATATTGGCATATCCCCATTCTCCCTGGACATCGCAAATTCCTCAGGGTTAGTTGTGCCCACCGACACTACCATTACAGGGCCTCACCATTCGGCTTCTCTTCAGCACCTAGAGTGTCACCAGGGTACTGGCTGTACTGGCCGCCTACCTGAGACAGTCTCCAATTAGGGTCCAATGTTATTTGGAGGACATATTAGTCCTCCTCCTCCCGGAGCGTTCGATCAGACCTCACCCTTGCAATCAGGACTTTTCAGGGGCATGGGCTTCTGTCAATTTTCAGAAAAGCCACACTGTACCACGACTCGGCTCCTACACCAGGGGCATTATAGACACGAGCAACCGTACTGTCTATTTATCACAGGACTGTTGGTCGGCATTCGGGCCCTTGTTCATTGAGTCCAAGGAGACAAGGTGGTCACATGGTTTTGCCATCGCAAATCCTGGGGCAGATGATGTCTTGTGTACAGATTGTTCCATGGGCACGCCTGCATGCCCGGGCACTGCAGTGGCCTCTTCCATTTCAGAGGCTACGCATCAGCGCTTCCAACCAGAAGGTTTGAGTTCCGCAGCCGGTGTTGTACTCCCTTCGATGGTGCCCCCCTCCACAGCACTGTCACAGGCACAGAGTTCAGAGAACCAGCCAGAATCACCCTACCCACGGACGCCAGTCTATTTGGCTAGGGAGCACTCTTCCAGTCGCATTGGGCTCAGGGTCGGTGGCCCCAGGGGGACCTAAGGGACAATATAAACTGGCTGGAACTCAGGGCCATACGGCTGGGCCTACTACACTTCTGCGACACAGTAGCAGGACAGCATGTGCTGGCACTTACCGACAACATTGCTGCCAAGGCATACGTCGACAGACAGGGGGACAAGATCTAGGCCTCTCAGGGAGCAGGCCCAGTTGTTGGGGGCTTGGACGGAATTGAACCTTGCTTCCATCAGGGCGGAGTTCACATCCGGAGTGGCGTACCAATAGGCGGACTCCTTAAACAGAGCCGCTGTGTGCCAAATGGCTACTGGACCTGGGGGTGTTCCAGGATATCGTGGACAGGTTTGACTCCCAACTCCCCAGATTCTTTTGCAGGTTCCCATCTCCAACAGCAGAGGGGACAGATGCCCTCCGTAGCCCTGACCCAGGGGACTCCCTTATGTCTTCCTCCCCTATCGCTCCTTCTCGCCATCATCCGGAAGACACTGCACGACCGGATAGAGATCCTGTTGGTTGCACCGCACTGGCCAAGACATCCGTGGTTCGCTGGCCCGATGGAGCTCTTCGTCTCCCTTCCGTGGAGGATCCCTGCAGGTTGTATTTTCCTCACTTAAAGGGAAATCCAGCGCCCGGGCCCGCAGTGGCTCCAGCTAACCGTTTGGCACTTGAACGGCGGGCCTTGAGCCGTGACTCTTATTCGTCGAGGGTGATAGCCATGATTCAGCAATCCAGGCGCCCCTCGACGAATAGAATATATGATGCCACATGGAGGAGCTTCTGCGCTTGGTGTTCTAGGCATAAGGTGGAACTCTCGGCTATCTCAGTGCCTATTGTGTTAGAATTTCTAATGGATGGTCTAGACAAAGGGCTATCCCTGACCACCATCCGTAGACAGGTTGCAGCTCTTGCTACGGTGATCACGTGTGACAATGCAGTTCCTCTGGCACACCATCCTATGGTTCGCTCTTTTTTGCAGGGAGCATCCAATGCAAGGCCACCACCGGTACATCGCTACCCCTCGTGGGACCTTCACCAGGTCTTACTGGCACTTGTTTATCACCTTTCGAACCTATTATCACATGTTCGTTTAAACTTTTGTCTATGAAGGTGGCATTCCTCATTGCAATCGCCTTGGCCAGGCGAATTTCTGAACTGGCCGCCCTTTCTGTTAGCAAAGAACTATGTGTTTTTCATGCGGACAGGGTTATCCTCAGACTAGACCCTTCCTTTGTACCCAAGGTTAACTCCTTGTATCATAGATCCCAGGGAGTGGTTTACCATACTTCTGTCCTAGCCCGTCCAATGACGTTGAGAAGCAGTGGAACACACTAGACGTACGCAGGGCCCTGCGGTGTTACATACACTGGACTTCGGCCTTCCGTAGGTCCGAGGCAATGTTTATATCCTTTCAACCTTCGTCCATGGGGCAGAAGGTCTCCTCCTCCACGATAAGGAGGTGGATTAGGGCCTGCATTGCCCTAGCATACCAATGTCAATCATTGACAGTCCTAGGCATATAACTGCCCATTCCAGCCGGAGCGCTGCTACTTCGGCGGCTTGGGCGACTCAGGCATCCATAGGGAAAATTTGTAGGGCAGCGGCGTGGTCCTCGCCCTCGTCCTTTGTCCGTCACTATAAAATTGACAAGTATGCATCATCCGATGCCTCATTTGGTTGCAGGGTGTTAAGGCATGTATCCTCATCTGGCGGGACCCAGGCCCAGACTGATTCCCCCCCTTAGGGACACAGGGCTTTGGTATGTCCCATCTATGTGGATTCTCCATCCAATCATGCTGTGAGAAAGGGCGTTGGCTTACCTGAACGCCTATTCTCAGCATGATGATGGAGAATCCACCCCCACCCGTTTTAGGGTCTGTAGGCCCTGGGTCCGGTAACTGAACAGTACACGCGTCGGACTAACGTCTGTGTATCGCCTTAGTCTCAAACTGGGTGCAGATGGCACAGCAGAGGCGTATCTACACTTAAGACTTAGTCTGATTGGAGCAGGAAGATTAAGACAACCCATCTATGTGGATTCTCCATCATCATGCTGAGAATAGGCGTTCAGGTAAGCCAACGCCCTTTTAATTGTATCTGTAATCCTTATGGCAATCAGTGAGTTCATGGAACAGAGATGTTTTGAGGGCACTAATAAGTGTTTGCATGGTGGTATTTTGGACCAGTTTAGTTTCTGGTGGCCTTCAAGAACTCCAGCAAAGAAAATTCAGTAACCCAAGTGGGAGGTCACTGGGAGAAGAATGATCATGAGAAGGATTTTCCAGTCCAGTGAAGAATATACTTGACACATAAGATTTGTGCAATGACTGTTGTGACAGCTGTTTTCTGCATGTTAAGCAAAAGTGCCAACCAGAAGAATCCTCAAATTACATACAAATTTTAATTGGAAAAGTGCAATTCTACTGAGAGCTAAGGATAGAAAATCCATATGTCTAGAAGAATGGGGTGGACCATTATTTATTTCTGCTTAGATCCTTAGACACCTTTTGGAGCTAGATACAAATATAATCAAACTGTCTTATAAGTTGAACTTGTTATGATTGTCATAAGCAGTGCTTTTCTTGTAAAAAAAAAAAGGGTGCCGGAACTCACACATGTCATACAACCCGCGTTGCCTATCCTACAAGGTTCCATCCAAAAAAGGTGCCGGAACTCCGTTCTGGGCGTTCTATGACAAAAAAGCCCTGGTCATAAGAAGCACAAAAATGATGAGATAACAGGAGAAAAGAATAGTGGGGAATCAATGATTTAACAGTTTGACTGTAGAATTAGTAACAAGGGATGAATTGTTAATAATGTCTTTTTTTACAGCTTCGACAGGCAGCTTTAAAACATCTCCTAACTACTGAACACCTGCAATACCAGCTGGAATTTAACCATTTGGGAATGTCATTTTATGCTGAACGGCTCTGAAAATCTCAAACATATGTAACAGTTTGGGCTATAATATGTAGGGTAGGTATTTTTATACAGTACTCTGTATCTAGAAAGAGTGTTTTCCTCAATATCAATTAAATATTTAAATTTATAAAGAGAAAGAGAATATTTTTCTTTCTTTTGACAGATGGTAAAATTGCACATTTGTCTTTGGCTGAATTATATAGAGCAATGGAAGATCAACTTAATGTAGATTAAAACAAAATAAGTTGCAAAATGAGGAATAATCCAAGAAATTAGGCAGTAGAAGAAGAAAGTGAAGTGAAAGAAAATGTAAGAATATGTTTAATTTTCCCAGTGAAGTAAATGAATTACAGAAATGTTTAAATTTAGTTGAATTTTCTCTTGGGTGAGGATGATACTGAAAAAAAGTCAGCATCTATACATAAATGTTTGGAGCATGTACAAAAGCTGGTGAACAATCTAAATATATATTTAAGCCAGTATTTAAGCCAGTTTAATTAAATATATGTACATTTTGTTCTTTAGTTTAAATGTTTCAGAAAAGCTTGTATATTATAATTATATAAATAGCATAAAGTCTTTCATTTGTTTATAATATTTTATTAATTTTCAAATTTTACATTTGAATATTTAAAAAGCAACGTGGTGACTGGGTTAATCAATAGCTCAATAACAAAATCATTGTGCAAATCTCAGGTTACAACATCAAATATTTCTTCTCTTTTTCCCTTAACAATTACTGTCTCATATTCACGTTAGTACATTTCTAATTATATCAACTCAATAAGAACATCATTATTACATTTATCAATAAATTTTTAGCTTATACATATCTTAATTACATTCAATCTTCATAAACAATCCATATCCTGTTATTGATTTTTACTCAATTTTTAATTTCTTATCAATATTCCAATTTAACCTTTGATATTTATAATTTTCAGACTTTGGGTAACCAAAATTTCCCTTATCTCACTTTATAACAACCTATAATATCCAAAATACATATTTTATCAATTTGAATAACAATATCCTCTTTAATAAATCAAAACCATTATATATATATTGCGTGGGTTAATCAATAAATTAAACATATTCATAATAATTAATTTTCTTTTCCTTTTTATGTCTAATTTTTAAATATTAAACCGATAAAATCCTTATTTTCAATGGTTTCCAAATATTTTTAATCTATAACCAAAATTCCCCTTGTCTCAACATCTCCCTTTAACCCACTAATTGGCAATATAAAATCCCCTCTAATGAGTCAAAATCCCAGTTTTTTCAACTTTATTCTAGCTTTCTTCCTTTGCCAACTAGGCTTCTATATCAACGCCTTTAAATCATCAAATAGATCTCCCTCTATTCTTATATATGTTATTTGAATTAAAGGACACCATTTGATTGCCAGTTTTCTGGAAGGACTCACTAGACCATTTGTATTCGTTAAATTGTCTCCCTGTTATTCCAGTTCCCCATGTTTGCTCTAATATATTTGTCTTCAATTCAATCTGTTCTACTTCTTTCTCAAATTTCTTCTGATTTATATAGAAAGTCATTTCCATTTTCAATGTTGTCACTTCCTTTTCTGGATTTTCAATCAGCTGTATTTGTTGGTCAATTGAGTCCTCTGTCTTAATATTTGATTGTCCTGCTTCTTCTGTTATCTTCTGCATTGTTGGTTCTTTGGTTGTAGTCAAAATTTGGCTTTGTGCATCTAAGCTAGCATCTTGATCTTTTATTTTAGGTCTTATTTTATCACACACTAAAAGAATGGTTTCATGTATTACTTTCAACATAGAAAGAATCTTTTCCTGGTCATCCATCTGTTTCACTTATTTGTAAATAGTCTTTCTAGTAAAAGTTATTTGTTAAGCAAAAGTCAGTAAAGGTTTACATTCACAGTTCAAGTAGGCCAATTTTGCTGCCCAGCTGTTCTCTTGCAGCTAAGTTTTTCACAGATGGTACCAAGGTCAGGAAGGTCTTATCTAAAGTCTGGGCTTTGAGCCAAGTTTCTTTTTAGGAAATAACAAATTGCTATACCAAGTTTCACCATAAGATGTCACCGATGCCATTTAGAGTTTTTTAAGTCCCGAATTTTTCTAATTCTTTTTCCAATTTTATTTCTTTTTTGTAAATAAAAAAAAAGTCTCCAATAGAAATAGGAAAATATTTGGTCCCCAAGTGTCAGGAATATATAAATCCAATTAGATTAAAGTTGTTCTTTTTAATGCTTTGATTCCCCTGGGTAGTCAGACGCCACTATTCTTAGAGGGTGGGATAGAAATTTCCTTCCTTCTCTCCTCACAGGGGGAAGATACTTCAAACAGCCTTTACAGGAAAAGAAGGTACTTGAGGTAAAGAGAAGATCAGATCTCACTCAGTTTCATCCGCATTGCTTTCAGAGTGCTTGATAGTAGATTTGACTTCGGCTGTCTGCAGCCTAATGACAAGCCATATTGCTATGGCCGGTCTTTTCTCTGCCAGTTTGGAGGGCTGCCCCGGATCAAGAGGAAGGGCTGCCGCCCTCCTGCGATCAAGCGGGGATCCCCTCCTTGCTCGTTGCCCCTACCGAGAAACTTTCGACCCTTTCCAGGGTCCCCCAGCGAAGGAAAATCAGACATGGAAGACGGAGTTGCCTTCCAAGTGTCCGCAGCAGCCACGTTGGCAAACCGGAAGTCATAAAGTTTTTCATTTTTGATGTCCATGAGAAGAAATCTATTGACTTATGTGAAAGGATACTTGGTATTACAATAAACAATCCTTTGCCATAGCTTTGTTTATTGTTCTGCATAAATCTAAATATTCATTCATTCAATTTTTATTATGATCAGCACAAAAAAATGAAACATTAAAATAAAGCAAAACAGAACTGAAGTGAACTGAACAAGGTATAGTAATATATTACGATTGATAGTGAAATCAAGGTCAAGATTCATAAATCTAAATATAATTTCCTATTCTTAGTTTCAAGCATATTTTCAAAAATAACCAAAATAGTCCTTACTTAAAGTTATCCTACATAGACACCCTGTGATATCTTGACTATAAATCAGTCGGGACTCTTATAACTTGGCCAAAGTGTAAATCTGCTTGGTCAGTAACAAAAATTATTATCACCTTAGGCGGACAGAATGAAGAATGAAGAGTTTATCTGCCATCATGATATGTGATTTGCAAATATACAGTCTACTCTTGCGATTGATAATATAAACCTGAAAAATAACTGGGAAGAGAGAACAATTTTTTTTTTACATATATACTCCATCAAGGGGAAGGAATGGGCTAAGGCAATGACAGGAAGCAAGTTGACTTCACAGGGAATTTAGAAAAAAAATGGTTAGTAAGTAAATATGGCCTAAACAACCTCAGATTGCTAAAGGGACCAAGGTTCCTCAGTAATCCAAGACACAAAGAAGAAAAAGATACAATGCTGATTATGTCTACTTAGTGCAAATTTATAGAGGAAGCGAAGGATCTGAAGATACAAGACCTTCATGGTGGTGCTAGCCATGAGACATTGTCAGCTAAGTCCCAACAAACAGGAGGGGAAAGGAGACCAATTTATAGGACCAAACTCAAAGCATAAACCCCAACACAGCAAATCAGACAAAGAGTGATGAGAAGGAAGGGAAACTCAGGTATAAAACAGGAGACATAGGAAGCAAATGCAGGGTCAATTGTAAAGGGCTCAGATGCCTGTACATTAATGCTCAATATTTCAGGAACAAACAGATCTTGAAGTCCTAGTACATGAGGCCAGGTACAATATTGTTGCTATTACTGAAATCTGATAACATGGAATCCATGATTGGAACATACTACTAGAAATACATAAATTGTTCAAAAGAAACAAACCCAGCAAAAAGGGAGGTGGAGTTGCACTGTATATAAAGAATTGCTACACTTCTATAGAAATACACAAAACCAAAGACAAAAGCCTTTTTAAAATATTTGGTTGAATATTAGAAGAAAAAGAAATAACTTTGCTATAGGTATATGCTACAGGTCCTCAGCCAAGTTGAGCAAATGAAAAATGACTTTTTTTGCTCATCAGTTAGTGAGGTGTATAAGAAATACACCACTTATAATAACGAGAAACTTTAATTACCCTGACATCAACTGGGTAACAAATTCTGCAGTGAGTGGGAGATTAAACATGTGCCTAGCTGACAACATTGTTATCCAAAAGGTGGAGGAGGGAACTAGAGATACAGTTATAGTGTTCTTAATTCTTACTAGTACAGATGAAATGGCTGAGGGAGTGAAACTTGTAGGAACTTTGGAGGAGAGTGAAATGTCATACCAGAATTCACCATAATGCAAGCTCAGTAACTGAACAAGATCACATTAGTGTTTTAGACTTCAAGAGAGCTGACTTCAATAAACTAAGAGAGAGATTAGGAAGGAGTGTGTGGATGAAAATCCTAGAAGAAAAAATAGTTAAGGATGTTTGGTAAACTCTGAAAAATAAGATAATAAAGGCTGAAAAAGCTTCTTCGATGAGAAGCGAAATGTCTCAAAGAAAAACAAGAAAGTCCAGTTGCTTCATGAAAAAGCACCTTTGGGATAATATGTCCTGGATGACTGACAATCTCCTTAGACATACTACTTAATTCCTTCTTTGCATCTGATAGTCCAGCCTATCAAAAGTATCAATGTGGGAGACAGAACAAGGATTCAGGTAAAAATAGGGAAAGAATTGGTGAAGAACACATATCCATTTTAGATGAGAAGCAGAGTGTGGAAGCTCATTAGCAGGAAATCCAACCTAGAAGTAAGAAGAAATTTCCTGACAGAACAATTAATCAATAGAACAGCTTGCCTCCCAGAATTGTGGTACTTCAACACTAGAGATTTTGAAAAAAGATTGGACATTTATCCAGTATGGAAGAAGGACTCTTGTCTTGGGCAGGGGGCTGGATTAGAAGACCAGTTCTTTGATTCTATAATTACATGAAAAGCCCTTTGTTAACTTTATGAAGAATGTAATTATTATTACATGCAGACACAAGCAACAGAACAAAATCAAACTTATGTCTTAGATTTTTAAAAGAGATGGTTTCAACAAACTTAGACAGGGCTTGGGAGGGATTCCATGGATGAAAATTTTAAAGGAGAAAACAACTCAAGAAGCTTGAGAAACTCTGAAAAGTATGATTATAAAAGGCCAGTCTAGTTCAATACCACTGAAAAAGAAAAACAAGAAGAAACCAGCATGGTTATGCAAAGAACTCTCTGATAAACTCAAAGACAAAAAGGATAAATACAAAAAAATAATAATGGAAAGACTAAAGCAGAATTCCAACAAGTAGCCAGAACTTGCAAAGATGAAGTCAGGAAAAATAAGGCTCAGAGTTAACTAAGACTTGCAACAAATGTCAAAACTAATTAAAAAGTTTCTTTCACCATGTAAAAAACAAAAAAAAAGTAAAGGAAACAATTGGTCCACTAAAGGGGGAAGAAGGCAAGGAAATGACAAGCAGCATGGAGAAAGAGCTGGTTTATTAATTATTTGCATCTGTCTTTATGAAAAAAGAAAAAAAAATATCCCAACCTATC